CAAACAATTATAGACGATTACTTAAAATCAATATAAACAATTATGAATATTTATTATACATTCCAGGCAGCTTGTACTTTTTTATAGATTTGAAAAAATGTTACCCTGTTAGCACAGGATTTTTCCTTGAAAAATTTACGGCGGATAGGCGTTTAAGTCGATTTTTTTAATACGGRATGTCGGATTCGAATCTCTGACATCTCTGTCTAGAGTCAATTTCCGATAAGATTAAATTTGTTCTGCAATTATGATCAATGATGTAAGCTGAGCATCGTGAGCTGACATTTTTATTGATCTTTTAGTACTATCTACACGAAAATCATTTGCATAAGTGGCGGGAATGCGCGCGAACACACCGGAAACGGAAAGCCCAAAATTCTGCTTAATGAATAAAGCCGTAAAGAAAGGAGAGCAAAGAAACTGAAAAAAGCAAGCACACAACATTTCATTGATGTAAATTGACTTTATTCTTGAATTGGTTTGCTATCATTTATTTTTTATTCTATGTTCTTTGCGCATGATCAGTYTGTACCGGGAACATCACTCGCACATTGTATGCCAGCGAGTAGGCGAACCTGTTGTACCATRAAAAGCCCGACACGACGCATCATCTGGTCGTAGTGTTTGAGAATATCAGCATTACAACCACTGGTCTTTTTCTCCTTGGTGACGCAATTGATACCCTCATTGACGTCATCGCACAACTGCAAAAAATAAATAAATAGCAAAACGAAAATAAATAAAGAAAAACACCGTGATGGTGGAGCCTGAGTATGGTATGAATAATCATGAAAGTAGGAATGTTATCTTGAACATAACGTTAATAAGCCCATTAACAACAAAATCATTAATAACAAAATCATTTCTTTAAAAATATTTTTACAATTCGCGGGAAGGATTCTAGTTTACAACCCTAAATATCTAATTGAATGCTATTGACATTGCAATGCATTTTTGGGACAAGTTTATGTCTAATTTTCAAAGAATTCAAAAGTATGATATATGCAAATGATTTTTGGGTTGTATTTTTTGTCGTTACAACTGAACATCGTTAATGGAATTGATTGTATAACACACTTAAAATATCGATTGATGCTCGTAATACAATGTGTAGCACTCTCAAGAAACCCGGTTTGACAATACTGTTCATCCTGTTACAACTTTAGAACAAATTTAAGACCAATAATGTGATGGATACCTTATGATTGGATGCAAAAATCGTCAGAAAGCTCTTTCTACATTTCATGTAAACATCAACAGCACACTGATCTGGTTCGTCTGTCTCTGAAAAAGAATATTCAATGACATTTTAAGCAAAAGAATATCAGTTGACGTTGGCTTAATACTCCGCTTTGCAGGTCCAAGCGCCATCTTGGAAGGTAACCAGGCCTTTGCATCAAAACGACAGTAGTTGAGCTTGCAATGAAACATGTGGATGATTCGATTCTTTCGATTCTCTTTTTGCTGATCATATTTTAAAAATCAGTAGGAAATACTCCATTTTCGAATTAAAAGCGAATAACCGCTGTTTGATTTGACAGCAGATTCTCTTATGCAAAGACATTGCCAAACAGAAAAGAAAGTACGATAGCCTTTGAAAAATTACATTTTCCACGAGTTGAGGCTAACCYTGTGAAAATGCAAATTTTCAAGTCTATTGTAAGAACGACATTTTCTCATGATTTCTTTTGTGTTTGGTCAGGTCTTAGCGTCTGTTGTCCTATAAAGCAGCGGTTTTTCACTTTGAATTCGAAAATAGAGTTTGAGTATAAAGTACCTAAATAATAAAATGTTGTACCTATTTTGTCCAGATACTTGCGCTGCATAGCAAATTCTGTAAAAATAGAAAAAAAATGAATGAATTAACGTGATGCGCGAGTCTTCGTTAATAAATATATCTGCTGACCAAAACTGAGCACGCGTTCCACGATGGGAAGTTACAATAGACTTTTTCTGAAATACAAATAAAATCAAGTTGCAATGTGGTCTAGTTTTGGTACAAACCACACCATATTTGGCTTTATGAAGAAAAGTAGTTTATACCGAATTTAAACCACAATGCAATTTATTTATTTTATTGCAAAAAAAGTCTATGAGACCGGAAGCACTTTATAGCTGTGCCATTTTCCTGCAACATGCGCGAATGCTAAAATGAATCAAACTACTTCAACCATTAGGTTCTGAAAACCAGGATCATTAATATCTAATTAAACAATAGAGTAGTTGAATCGAGCACATTATCCTGTGCTAGTTAATCTTGGATATTCTGGAAAGCAAATAGTCGCCCGTGAAAGCAGTTCGAGGGCTTCCATTAGGTTTTGAGTAACATCCAGTTTCCAAGGACAATTATCACAGCATAATGGCCAAGAATTTAACTGCTCTATTGTTTTTATTATTAAACCACAAAATTTTCTGAAGCGGCGGGCACTATGCACTGATAGTAGCCCTCTGTGGTGGTCAGTATCGCATCACGTGGTCGACTCTCAACCAATGAGTGTAGAGGAAAACTTGTTTTTGAGCTATAAACAAGCATCATGTCACATACCTGTTTTATCATTGATTTCCTTGACATCTTTGTAGTCAATGTCGGGACAAACGTTCAGTTTGGAGAGAAATATGCCATTCTGGGTAGCAAAATATCGCATGGCGTCCACCATTGGACTCTGAATTTCTTTTCTCTTTGACAGACAGTCGACCAATATCTGGAAAAAGTGGACGAACCAGTACGAACAGGTTATAAATTTGATAATTTTAACAACTTATGAATTTAGCAAAACTTCATGGAACATTGTTGGCCATTAGTTCATCTTGAATAATTTCTATCATACAACCAGAATGCATAGCCCTGCTTCTTTTCCCGATTGTCGAACTTTAGGTTATAGTGCGACTTATGTTCGCAAATTGAATAAAAAAAAGAACGAAAATGACCAAAGTATCCTGGAAGTTAGGATGGCGTTCCTAAAAGCCTATTGTTGAGTTTCGCGATGTCGTTCGTTAGGACCTGATTATACGAAGCTAGTTGCCCCGGTTGACCAGGATAATTTCTTTTGTTTTGTTTAGACCCCTGGGAAAAGAAAACAAACGAAACTGCCAGCAGTTGAACCTGTCTCACCCACTTTGTAATAATTAGACCCTTATAGCCTTAAGTATGTAAAAAGTCAAATAAAATTAGAGAAAACTCGTGAGATTCAAACTATTTTCATTGGCTTCTATACTTCTAGATATCTTATTTTCACAGACTATAATAAATTATAAAAAGAATCTATTGCATGCTTTTGAGCCTAACATAGTGTAAAACAGAATGAGCTAAAAGGGTTTATTGCAAGAACCACGTTATGCAAAGATAGAGCAACTAACGATTGAAGCAAAGCGACAATATGTCTTTTAAGTAACAATGCGCTAACTAGGGAACTCTCTATTGTTGTGCGGCATAGCAAGTTCCCCATGTACGAATGTCTTGGTTTTCACACTGATTATGTATCCATCTGTGGGTAACACATTTTTGAAATAAAATGTGGATAAACTCTATTTTGAAACAAAGTTTCTTTTGTATTAAAAGCTCTTATCCAATCATAAGCACTCAAAACAATAGCCAAAAGATCCTTCTAATTTGCAATGTTCCCCACATAGAATTGCCTTAATATTGAAGCTAAAGAAAGCTTTCATGAAAGCGAAAACAGACATTAAATAAAATATTAGAAAATTCGCTAACTTGTGAAATTATGGCAGATTTTCATGTTTTAACCAATGGGATGGATGGATTATACAATGCGCAATTAGCATCTTCTTGCATTCCTGTGCCGTTTGGTTCCCTAGTTCTTACTCGGGGCATTACTTAATAGCTTTCTCCCATATTTTTTTTTGATTGATTACCTGCATTCGAATACACGTCCCCTTCTCCTCGCTGTAATTGTCAAGTACAGTTCTGTATTCCTTAATGCACTTCATAGCAAACTCTYTTGGAGTCAGGCTGCTATATCCGGGAACTCCAGCAAGAACAAACAGTCCAATAATAATAATATTCATGACTGCTGTAGAAATGATAGCAACTCTATAAAGGAAATATTAGATTTGTTACAGAAGACCTTGATCGTGAACGCCGTGAAATACAGTCTTTTGCCTCGTCTGCGACCTAATTCAGAGCTCACTTAGACTAACAGAGACTAAACAGTGAGGAGGAATACCAATGAGATAGTAATAATCCAGTTTCAAATTCTCCAATGCTCTGTGTTAGCCTCATTTGTGCGCAAAATATTCCTAATTGTGAGCGTACAAATCACATTTATTGTCTTTCTTCACAATTAAAATTACATGCGTTTTCTCGAGCTATCAACGAAACAAAGAATATGTTGCATGGTTTTGAGGCTAGCACAGAGCAAACCAGAACTCGAAATTGGTGTGCTGTCCTTTGTCTATTTGAGAATCAGGGTTGGTTGTTCAAATTAAACTTCTCTGTCCACAATTTTCAGTGAAATAGTTTTATACATAAAAACAGTTTGCGTTCATGTGTATCAGGCAAATAAACAGTTGCAATTGATACTAAAACGTTGRCAAAGTTTCACCTAACGCGGCAAATCACAAAATTATCTACTTTTTACTAATATTTTGGTAAGTACAAGAGAAATTTAAAAGAGCGAGAATAAAATTATGCCTGAAAAACAGTTAATATAAATAATGAAGTACATTCAAAGGAGATGAAAAGACTCTAGCTTTATGCATTACTTTATAAATTCACTTAGGCCTAGTGTGCTTTCTATTTGTCAGAACTGGCTGTCCAGACCCAGAGAAAATGCAATTATATATCATTCCCATTTAGTTAGGAAATTCAAATTTTCAAATTCTATCCATTATTCTATAGAAAACCTCGAAATGACTGACAAATCYTGACAAAAAGCATTATTTACCTCTAAATAGAGTGGACTGGCCGCCCAGTTCTGCCTAAATGGAAAGCACCCCTACATTGTGCAATAAAAACTTACAACAAGATTTCTTTCAGCTGTCGCAGGTCCTGACACAGGAGACGTTATGAGAATGGTTCACTGGACGGAAACTAATGTCAGCTCTTTTTACAGTTGCCAGTAATGAAATCGTGAGAATGTCATAACACATACAAAACTTAACTTAAGTAAACAAAAGAACTACATGATAATTAAAGAATTTGATAAGAATATAGAATTAGACTCARGTTCAGTTTTCCCATTTGGGATATGATCATCATGCATMATTAATATTTGAGGCAGCCAATGAAGCTAAAGTGTGTTGTGATTGTTTGAACTGCAAAAGTCAAGAATGCATAATTTTCTAGAGCAAACGCAGGAAAACCATGAAATAAAATCAAACTAAATACTAACAAATAGCGCCTATTTAGAGACAAATTGTCGGTATCAATGAACCAGAACACAATGAAGATGAATCCACATGGGACCATTTTTCATTCATCTTTATTGCGTTCTGGTTCATTGATACTGACAAATTGCCTCTAAATAGCCGCTATTTGTTAGTATTTAGTTTGATTTTATTTCATGGTTTTCCTGTGTTTACTCTATTGCAGTAATTGTGTCGCTTGTTTATATGCGTTGCTTTATTGTCAAAGTCCCTGGACCATGTTATACTACTTTGCCAAAGACAGAAGAAGTTGCCAGGGAATAAAGAATTCCCATTTTCGAAAAGAAAGTACAGGAAGCAGTCCGTGAAACACAATGTTTCCCATAAATACGTGAATTACATTTTAGCGTATTCTTCGTTTTCAGGTAACGACGTCAAAGCGCCCAATGTTGGAGGAACTTTAACAAAGGATTTCTCATTAGTATCTATTTTTCATTCCTCCAAGATGGCCGCCGGTCTTTTATCTTTTGAATCTCATGGGAATGGGCGAAAACGATCAATTACAGATACTATATCTATAGCTGTTTTGTCTTTTTTACTAAGAAGTTATTCAATCAAATCGAATCACTGATTATATTCTAAGCGCCTGACTAMATGAAGCGGACTGGTCCAGTTTCTTGTTTTATGTCTCATATGCATGGAAAAGAAAACAAAGATCAGCCCTTTGGTGTCAGTTCACACTACAACACAAGCACAATCTCCATAAGCAAAGGGTTTACGGATTAAGAAGACAAAAAGGAAGGTGTTTTTCTCTGTTTATTCCTATGTCTTTGATTAGTTTATGCTCTGCCTTATGTTACTTGCTATGCTTATATCGATGCACGCTTGACTTTATTCCTTTGTCTTTGATTAGTTTATGCTCTGCCTTATGTTACTTGCTATTCTTATATCGATGCACACTTGACTTCATTCCTTTTTCTTTTCTTTTGTTCGACATGCTTATGTCGTAGTGTGAACAGGCCCTTGAACCGGCCAGTCTGCTTCATATAATCAAACCCTAATTAAACTTCTTCCAAGCTGATACGTTTTTGTAGTCAGCCTTTGTGTTAATGTTCCTCCTCATAGTGCATTGTGGTCTAGATTCAGTACAAACAACACAYCATGTTTGGCAGCATGAACAAAAAATGTTTGTATCGAAACATCTAAACCACAATACAATGCAAACTGCTATCTCAGAAAATGCCTATTATGTCATCACCTAAGAACAGCAGAGTTGAATGTAGAGTATCATAGGGGACTGCTGTTTGAATAATTATCCAAAACGCGTGGAAATTATGAAAACAGGAAATTAGCGTGTTATTTTACCTGCGTCGAGCTTTGGGCGATTCAAAATGATCACGTGGTACAAAATCTATCGATCCCATTGGAAGAGAGGTGGGCAACTCCCACTTAGAGAATCGCGTAGGACTGGTAAATACTAGTGTATTCAAGATGGCGGTTAGTCGTAACTGTTACTATAAATATGGAAACATATGAACTCAGCAGACCATAAATTCATGTTAATTCATCACAAGCTGCATGATATGACAAGCARTAAAAGACTCAAGTATTTAGTAAGCCATGGACCTTGTATTTCGTATCATGCTCACCAAGGTACCCAAAGGTCTCGATTAGTAATYGTATTACACGGTCTTAAGAAAACCACTTTAAAATAACCGTCTTTAATGAAATTTTAATGAATATCGACAATTTGGCATAAATAATACATTATAATTATAGGATACGTCGAACACGTTGTTTGGAACTGAAGCCTGTTGCGCACACATTTTTTGTGAACCTTCTTCTACTATTTACGTTGTTATGACGACCTGAAAGTCTATCGGATGAATAAAACACGTGATCTTATGAGCTTTGAATGAATTCGAAGCGTCCACAATTCTGTGCCGATTTGCTTTCCATGTAATGGTWTTGACTTTTGTCCCAATTGGAATACAGTATGTACCATCTACAATCTATATTCACAATACTCAGTCATACAAGGGGACAATGGTTACATTCGTCATGACAATTCCTTAGAAACCGAACTACCGTTCCCCCTAATGACGTCACGTCTGTTWTGGCGAAGTRCATCATGGTAATGAAAAAATATCAAGATGGCGGATGTCTCAAAACTACGAAGGACCATGATGAAGGACTAATATTTATCATAAGCAATAAGGACCTTAGAACGTACGAGGTTGACAATAAGCAATGAGCAATATATCAAGTCATCATACAGTGAGTGGGGTGTACTCACCCTCGATTTATGCTATTCACTTATTCCTACCTAGATATGCTGCCTGATCGTGACTTATACTTGTTAAATATTCGCATACTATTTGGATATTTTGCCGTCCCTCCCCTCCCCAACGGAAATTATAGGTAACATCACAATGCTTTAGCAGTGTGATGATGCTGGATGTGTTGGGAGGGACAGAGCTGCCATGTAACCATTGTGCTCCTTTTTATACTGGCTTTCACCTACAACCCAACACTGTGAAAAAACTCGCACTTTAAAGGTTGTAAATTTGATGTAAATATGATGTAAGTGTCCAAAATGATGTAAATTTGATGTCATATCATCATATCATATCATATCACATTGCCAGAAATTTCGGACAAAATGGCGTCGGGCATGCGCATTTTGCATAACAATGGCGGCCATACAGCCATATAAAATGTATGGGAGACGGTAAACTTTCCTAAATAAGAAATCTAATTCTTTATATTTCTCTCTTCTCTACCTCGAATAATAATCGCGAATGCAGTGGTTACATGTTAGACCTAAAAAGAGCTTCTAGAATATTATCCTCGTGGTTCCTCGGCTTCTGACTTTTTCTGCACTCAAAGGCCATACATTCTCTCTTAATTTGCTATAAATTTGCATACCTTAGTCACTTCAAGATGAAAATTGTATACGAAATCGTCGACTTGGACAACTTCTCCGCATCGGTTCAAGTAGACGAGTGTTTAGCTGATTCAAAACAGCTTTTAGACTGCGATATAAAACTACTTTGAAGGTTCCCACGAAGGATGAACTTTGGTTATTTTCTAGGCTAGAAGTCGCCATGATATCTCTTAAAAATTTCAAAAAAACGCTTAAAAAAGAATCAAAACACACCAAAATAATCGCTGTGCTGCCATTTTGCTTTTCGAAGCTTTTATTGCATGCTGGGAAGCAATCAGGGAGCCCAAGGCCTTCCTTTTTTGATTTTCACGTTTGCAGTGGATTTAGAGCTCTTGGGCTTCCTGTGGCGAAACATAACAATAGAAATTGGAGCTTTTTTTGGAAAATCGCTCTATATTATCATATTTCTGTTTTATAAGCCTTTATTTAGTACTAGTATGTCTTTTCAAGCCGTATTTGTACTTTTTTTC